CTATTGTGTGTTTCTGTATACCTAACTATTCTAGGTGCTTCGTGTAAGTGAAATCATACAATGTTTGTCCTTATGTGTCTGACTTATTTCACTTAGTTTCATAATTTTAGTGTGCATCCACATTTTGGCAATTGTCAGAATTTCATTCATTTCAAAACTCGATAATATTCCATTGTCTAAATATATCCCATTTTGTTTATCCATTCATCCTTCTATAATCATTTGGTGTTTGTCCTCTTTTTGGCTTTATGAATAATTCTGCTATAAACAATGGTATACAAATATCTCTTTGAGTACTTGCTTTCAATTCTTTTTTGTATATATCTAGGATTATTTCTGTTTAATATTTTGAGGCACTGCTTTTGATAGTGGTGAAACCATTTTCTGTCCTATCACTAATACAAGTGCTCCATATTCTTGCCAAAACCTGTTTGCTTTTTCTCCCCTTCTTTCCTCCCTCCTTTCCTTCCTCCCTTCTTTTAAATAGCCATCTTAATGACTATAAAATTGTATAGCATTATGAAATTTATTAGTATTTGAAAGCTTCTGGTTGCCTTATTCTGTATTTATTTATTTATTTAAAGAAAACAGGTTTCATCCAAAGTACATTTATGAAGACACGAATTGGTGTGAATATACTTTATATACAACTAGAGATATGAAAAATCGTGCTCTATATGTGTAATAAAAATTGTAATACATTCCACTGTTATTTATATTTTTAAAAATCAATAAAAAATAAAGATAACAGATGTAATAATCAAATTGACTATTTAAATCAACATTGGAATTGTCAACTATAGCCACTGGCATGTGTAAGGAATTCAGTTCCTCCTAAGTATAATCCAGGAAAAAAAGTCATAATTTAATAGTATTAAAAAACTTTATCTTCTCTATATAAGTGAATTTTAATATTTTATACTAAGAAAACTTTGTAGGGTAGTTAACAGTTGCTTAGCATAATGAGGCTATTATACTAAATTTCTTCACCAGTGTACTCCATAAACATATTCCCCCTGGCCAATCTATAGTACTGTTAGTTGCTGTGATCATAATCAGATTGTTGGGTCTGTGTTTCTTTCCCAGATTCATTTTGTCTATGTATAGTTACCAATTCAATTGACTATAATCCTTTTTCTCCCACAAGGTAGACATTTTTATTATCCTAATCTCTTAATAGACAAAATGAATCAATACAAAACTCAGTTAATTTGCTCCAAACCACAAAACTATAAATGAAATCTAAGAATTTTACCTATAAACTAATGGTTCTGAAGCTTGACTGTAAACCACTCATTTTATAATTTTAGTCCTGATAATCTAAATCAAAAACATCATTGTGCTGTATCTGTTTATACAGGCATCAGTTTATATCCTACTTGAATTTGTCTTTCTTTACTCTCATTAATTATGAATATATTAATTACTTAATTATCTATACTTTTAGCAATGGGGGAAAGGCTGAGTCATAAGTTAAAATATGACTTTGTATAATGTATTAAGCAATTTGTATAGTATTATATAAGAAAAGGATCACAAAGACACATTAACTTCCCTTAACCTACTTAAAAAAAATTGGCCCTATTCTGATCAGGTAGTAATCATTGTATTTGCTGTTTATGCGACCAAGCAATTGTTTCAGTTACTGTGTTTCTCATCAAGTTATATTTATTGTCTCTCAGAACCAAGTAAACCATATCTTCCTCAGTGAGGTCAGAACTCCTGTGCTTAACCTTCTTTCAGTACTCCATCCCAGTCTTAGTGAACTTTACAGAACTTCATTAGGTCCTATAATTATTATTTTACTCTAGTTAATAATTTTTATCTTAAATTTACCCTGTTTACTTGGCTTCTGATTTGATGACATGTCGGACAGACAGTTGTAATTCCTACCTACATATGAATAGCCTTTAGGGTGCATGTCAAGTCATTCTGCATGGGCTGACTTAGTCGGACAGTTTTATAGATAAGCATAGGACCCCAAATTTCATCAAATTATGGTTAAGTTAGGCAAATTTTAATTTTATGTACAATTATTTCTCTCATATTTGAAAATACTGCTTATACTTTCCATTCAAGAATCAAAGATTGAAAGATAAAAGCCCAGAATAATGCAAACATCTGAAAAAAATCCATGATTTTCTAATATTGAGAAAATTCAGATAAACATTTTATCCAGAAACATTCACTTCAGTGTTGCTACAAACTAATAAATGAGGCAAGTAAGGTTCATTTATTTTTATTCTCCATATATTATGCCAGGTAGTCAAGAGTGCAGGGAAAGTTACTTTGAAATTCAGAAAAGCAGTCTTCCCTACAGGTAACTGGCTTTTCCACTTAAAAGAAAAATATTTTAATGAGTAGGTGTAACAGCAGAAAACTCACTGTGTGTTTCTTTTAGGGAATGCTTTCTATTTAATTAGGGTGTATGGGATTATAGATTGACAGGAGATTTAGACCATCATTGCTTCTCAGTGGCTGATAGAGACGTATTCTGCCATTCATATGTTCTTTTGAGTTTCCTTGAGCTGTAATTTGAAATAATGAACATTACTGGCTTAGAGCATTTGTGGGCTATTTCCCTTAAGTCTCTAAAATATGGTGAAACTATGTCAGATGAATAGAATAGTTTGTACCTCATATACACAAGATTTAGCTATAATCCAGTGTGGTGGGGCAGGTGCTTTTGACTTGAGGTGGGAAACTGCACTTAATTCTAGTTCAATTCTAGCTCTTCCATACATCATTTATCTTTAACATCAATGACCAGTATCTTAAACTATTTGAATATGCAGTTGAAGACATCAGTATTGTAAAAGTTAAGTGAGATGAAATATTTTGTAAACAATCAATGCCATATCAATGAAGTTATTATCATGGTTACATAAAAATTTCTGTGTCTAGTGATATTTTTACAATATAACAAAACTCCAGAGGACAAAAAAGCATAAAAGAAAGGAAAGTTATTTTAAAATTCAGAGAAATCTCAAATGTCATAACTATGCACAGGGACACTTGGAAAGCCAATCTGAGATACTGAACAGGAAGGAAGTATTCCAGGATGCAGAAAGACCATGGTAGGAAACACTTGGAGATCTATAGTTATTAAAAGAAAATAACTTTTCATTTAGAAATTCCTAAAGTAAGCAGGAAATACTAGAGATAATATCCAAATGAACCCTTACAGGAAATAATCAACAAAGGAAAACGGATGGATAAAGGGGAAGAGGCTAACATTTTTAACACTTGGAATAAACAACAACGAAAAGAAACTTCTAGGTGATAAAAGAAAAAAAAACTGTTTTGTGCAACCCCTCTTCTAATCACATTTCTTCTTTCCGTTTTTTCATTCTTTCCTTTTCCTGTTAGTACTGGGGATAAAACCGTGGGGCACTCAACTTCTTAGTTACATCTTTCTTTAGCCCTTTACATTTTGAAACAGGGGCTAACTAAGTTGTTTAGTTTCACATAAAAATGCCTGATATTTATTAGTATACATTAGTGCACAGATATTCACATAATATACTTTATTATATTCACACAGTGGAATAGACATAAAGCTCTCTGTCTATACTACCAAATTAAGTAAGCTCCCGGGTTTGCTATTATTTTAAAAACAGTGTAGGGGAAAACAATGTTACACACATGATAATAACAAACAAAAAACCAAACAAAAACAAAAACAATGAAACAATAACCCATCCCACTGCAGGAAAAACATTGCCCAAGAAAAGGGAGAAGATAACATGGAGAATAATAGGAATATAAATCAGATTTTTTCCCCTCAATATATTGTTTTTATTGTTGTCATTTTGGAACTACGAAAATATTTTATACAAAAAGTTTAGCTTCAAAAATAAAAAAAAAAAGTAACCTGAGATGAATCAACTTAACCTTTTAAAAATTTATTATGACAAGAACGCTTAACATGAAATCTACCCTTTAAAAAGTTTTAATTGTACAAATATTGTTGAATATAAGTATAATGTTGAAAGCATGTCTTTAGAGCTTATTCATGCTTGACAGAGATTTTATGATCAAAACTCAACCAAGTAACTCTGCAAAGTACCAGTCCAACTCTGTAGCTTTGTGTAATATGAATTAAATACAAAAATAACTTACCAGAGAACTTAACAATAATGTATATGGCTAGTTATAGTTCTAATTTTTATTTGGAGGCAGTTATATGTGTATTTTTGGAAAAAATAAATTAGTAATTAAGATTTGAGTTATTGAGAACTAGGATTTTTTTTTAATAGAAGGGAATAGAAAACAATGGTTGTATAATCAGCAACACAAGTAAAGACTCTGATAGTCTAGAAATCTCACTGAAAGTACTGAAAGAATACACTCATCAGGTATGATAGTGTCTTTAAATTATATCATATACATATGTGTGTGTTTATGTGTACATTTACATGTGTGTGTGCAGGTAGATATGTATTGACAAAATAGCCCTAATGTTCCCCTAAGTTTGACAAAATTTAGATAGGTTTCTCCTTGACTACAGATCCTCGTGTCTTTGTGTAAAGCATTTATATTAGAAAGCTTACAATTATAAATTCTTTATTTTGCTGATATAAAAAGGTCCTAGCCTTTTGCAGGTATAACAACCCAGGGATGTCTTTTTCAAAGGCCAGGGAACCAACCATTTGAAATGTAATCATCAGGCAGGGGGCTAAGGCACAACCCTATGATCACAGCATCTTGAAAGGCTGAGGCAGGAGGATTGCAAGGTTGAGGCCAGCCTCACCAATTTAGGGACACCCTCAGTAACCCTGTTTCAAAATGAAAATAGCTAAGGATGGATGTAACTCAGAAGTTGAGTGCCCTAGGGTTCTATCCCCAATACTAAAGAAAAGGAAAGGAAGGAAGGAAGGGAGAGAGGGAGGAAGGGATAGAGAGAGGGAGGGAGGGACAGAGGGATGGGAAGATGTAATCAGTAGACCTAAGTCTGATTATGTTCCCAGTGTTTGTGGGAACATAAGGGCCTTTCTTACCTTTTGTTTTAGAGGAGTTCTGGTTAGTCTCTCTGCCTCCTGCATTGTCCCCAAATATACTTGTCTGTTTCTCTTGCCTCTTCTTCTGAACTATAGCTATCATGAAGAATGCAGAATAGGCTAGGAATATTCTGAAATAGTGAGGAAATGCCTGAAGTAGGCTTTGTTCCTGTGCCTGATAACATATGTTATATCTTGAGTTAGAAAGCAACTGGTCAGGACAGACTGAACCTCATTGCTTTATCCCATGGAAGAAAAATGTCATTCAAAGCTTCGCTCAGTAAATCAGTCCTCTAGATGATGAATAGAAGTGTCTCAGTTTTTTTTTTTTTTTTTTTTTTTTTTTTTAAAGAGAGACTGAGAAAGAGTGCCAATTCCTACTGGCCTCTATGGTTTCTGATGAAAAGTCTACTGTTATTTTAGTTAATTTTCCTAATAGTTAAGGTTTTTTTTTTTGTGCAGCTTTAACAGAACACCAGAGACTGGATAATTTATAAAAAGCAAAAGTTTATTTCTTCGGAGTTCTGGAGGCTGAGAAGTTCAAGATCAAGGCACTAGAATATAGCAAGGACCTTCCTGTTGCATAATTTCATGAAGACAATGAGAAAGAAAGAAACAAACAAAAAAATCAGGGGTGGGGGTAATGGAACTCAAGTGTTTCAGAGGGCATCTACTTTCACATAATGAAATCAATCTATTTAAAAGGTTTGTAGCCTCATGTTCTAATAACCTCTCATTGGGCTTCACCTGTCAACACTTCTGCATTGGGAATTAGTTTTCCAACACATGCTTTTTGAGTATGCATTCAAACCACAGTGGCAAGTTTCTATTCATAGATTCATGTAAACTTATAACTAAGAGGGGAATGGAATGGTTCATATAGTACCTAGCTGAGCTAGGTGCTGAGGAACAATGATTCCAAAAATCAAGGGAAGTGATAGCCTGAGATTCTTCTTATTGAATCCACTCAATACATTATCTTGTGAAGAGCATATTTGTAAATATATCAACCCTATACTAGACATAGTCTCTAGATCCAACTGTTAGCTATTAAGCAATTCAAGGAACAGAAAGATGTGTTTCTTGGCAACATGAACTTGCTGATAAAGTTCATATTTTGGAAAAAAATTGCATAAACAAATGGGAATCTTCCCTCAACAAATCAATTGAAAGAAAAATTAATTTTGGATGGCAATCCTGTATGATAAAGGTTTTAAGTGAACTTTTAGTTAACTAATATATAAAGAAATCATCCTGATTTGAAAAAAAGTTTAAAAATTATGAGACAGCTGGGCACAGTGGCACAAGCCTGTAATCCCAGTGGCTTGGGAGGCTGAGACAGGAGTATCAGGAGTTCAAAGCCAGCTTCAGCAAAAGCGAGGCACTGAGTGGCTCAGTGAGACCCTGTCTCTAAATAAAATAAAAAACAGTGCTGAGGATTTGGCTTTGGATTTATTGAGTATCAATCAATCCCTGATACCAAAAAAAAAAAAGTATGAAACAATCATAAAACAATGCCATTGTTTCTCATAATATAAAACATTACTAAAATGAGATATTCTTATAATATTAATGAATAAGAGTTAAATTTTAGAAGTATTTTTGCTGTTCCTTTGGTGTTTACTTAAGACCTATTTTGTAAAGGTATAAATAGCAATATACATGATATGATTTATACACAGATATATGCTCATTAATATGTATAATTTTTTGTTTTAATGTATTAGTTTAAAAAGTTTAAATAATATAAATCTGGCATTTGTGTCCAATAATCCAGAGCAAAGAAAATTGATAGAATTAAATTTAAAGCAAATTGTGGGGGTTTGGATTGTAGCTAAGTGATAGAGCATTTGCCTAGCATGCTTGAGGTCTCTTGACCAACTTTCAGCACAGCAAAGAAAAGCAAAGCAAAGCAGGCCTTAGTTCAAAGCCAGCTTTGGCAATGGCAAGGCACTAAGCAACTCAGTGAGACCCTGTCTCTAAATAACATACAAAATAGGACTGGGGAATGTAGCTCAGTGGTCAAATGTCCCTGAGTTCAATCACTGGTACCAAAAAAAATAAATAAATAAATAAAAATTCAAACTTCTGACAAGATCATAGCACCACTGTAACCCACCTACAGAAACCAAGAGCAGAGTACCACTAAGGGAATACTTGGGTCAATTTAACAAATAATATACACATATATTTGTGTATAAAATTATTCTGATTTAAAACAAAAATACATTAAACAAAAATTATGAAAACATGTTGATGGGTTTAATAATATATAAAGAAATAATTTGTACAACAGTAATAATACAAAGGAGGGAAAAAGGAAAAAAAGATACACTGAAGCAATGTTTTTGCATTGTATTTTTTCTGTATTAGAACAAAAAAATGATAGTTTCATAGTTCTACAGACCAGAAGTCCAAAAGAAAGGAGTCAGGAATGCTATGCTCCCTCTGAAATCAATAGGGGAGAACCCTCCTGCTATGAGATGTTGCCCAAAAAGCTCACGTGGTAATGCAGGAATGTTTAGAACTGGCAGGTTAAAAATGTTGAATGCATTACTGGATGGTAACTGTAGGCAGCTGGGGTGTGACTGGAGGAAGTAGGTCCCTGGGCGCTTATACCTGGCTTTTTCTCTATGCTTCCCGGCTGCCATGGGCTGAGCAGGTTTTCTCTATCACAACCACAACCACCTTAACAAAATTTTAAGTATAGTATAAGACTGTTAACTATAAGCAAAATGTTGTAGAGCATATTTCATCTTGCTTAACTGAAACTTTATACCTACTGAAGAGCAATTTATATTTACTCCCCCAGGTTCTGACAGTCACATTCTGCTTCATACTTTTTTGAATTTTATTGTACCTCATATAATGGGATAATGCAATATTTTCCCTTCAGGGACTGACTTATTTTACATAGCATAATGTCTACACACTAATCCATATTCTTACATATGGCAACGTTTGCTTATTTTTTTTTAAGATGAATAGTATAGATTGTAACATTTACCATATTTTAGTTTATTTCTACATTTTAGTTAATGTGAATCATGCTTCAATGAACATGGGAGTGCAACTATGTGTTTGAGATACTGATTTCAATATTAGTATCTTCTGGATCATATCTAGAAGTAAAGTTGCTGGACTATATGGCTGTTCTACTATTAATTTGTGAGGGGATCAGGGGATCCATACTGTTTCCCATAGAAGTTGCACCATTTTACATTTTCACCAACAGTAGAAAGGATTTCAAATTGTCTACTAGCTCACTAGCATGTACTATTCATTGTTTGTTTGTTTTTAATAATTTTTTTTATAATGGTCATCCTATTCCATCAAGAATGAGGTGGTACCTACCACTTGACTTGCAACATAATAATGTTGAGTAGTAACTTCTCATGTATGTGTGGCCAATTGTTTTGTCTTTGGAGATATGTCAATTCAAGCCCTTAGCTTATTGCTTATTTCTTTTTTGTTTCTTTATATACTTGTGGTACTAAAGTTGGGACCTAGGAACTCGAGCATGTTTGGCAAACACTCTACTACTGAGCTACATCAGGAGCCCACTCACTTTTTTTACTTGATTTTGAGACAGGGTCTCTCTAAATTGCCCAGGTTGGCCTCTAGGCTCAGCTTTATGACTATGCCAATTTCTTACTTAGGATATTGTTTTTGTTTTGTTTTCTAATTGAATTGGAGGAGTTTTAAAATATATTTTGCATATAAACCCCCTGTTAGATATATGATTTGCAAATGTGTTCCCTGATTCCATAGAATGCCTCTTTACTCTGATTGTTTCCTTTCTTTGCAGAAATTTGTTTTGAAAAAAAAACTTATTTATTTTTGCTTTTGTTTCCTTTGTTTTGGTATCATATCCAAGGAATTATTGTTTAGATCAATGTGAGAAAGTTTTTCTTCTATTTCTTCTAGATATAAAAATAATTTAGGTCTTATACTTAATTATTTAATCCATTTTCAGTTATTTCTGTGCATACCACAAGGAAAGTACTAATGTAATTATTTAGGATATGGATAGTCAGGTTTTTTTGAACAACTTTTATTGAAGAAATTTATCTTTGCCATGATACATTCCTGGCATCATTGTAGAAAATAAGTTAATGTAAATGTTTAAGTTTAACCCTGGCTTATGTTCTTTCTGTTCCATTGGTCTATGTGTCTGTTTTTATGCTAACATCATGTTACTTTAATTACATTAGCTTTGTAATATATATTGAAATATGAAAGTGAGAAGCCTCCAACTTTGTTATTCTTTTTAAATATTGCTTTGACAATTCAGAACCTTCTTTTATTCCATATGAATTTTAGGGTGTTTTCTTCTATTTCTTTAAAAATGTTATTGGAATTTTGATAGGGATCACATTGAGTCAGTAGGAAACTTTGGGTAATATTTTTTAATAACATTGTATTCTAGTCCTTGAGCATGGATGCCTTTCAGTAAAAATGTTGAAAAATTATACTGCTAGAATATATCATAGTTTGGACTTTAGGGAAAATACATTGAAGAGTCATCAACATATATTCCTTGTTTGATAGTATCAGAGGATGATCAAAGCAAAACAGAGCTAGAAAATTAAAAAAATGCATATAATCATAATTTCTGGCTAACTTACTCTGTGGCTATTTAGCATACACTCCTTGAGTAAGGAATGTTACTTTAAACATTACATTTTCAATATATTTTGTTCACATTTTGTACAAATAATGTAAATGACTATTGAGACCTTATCATTTATGTATTATAAAGGATGATTATATTTGAACATGTCTGACTTTGAACCTGTCATAAATTCAGTAACTAGTTGAAAGAATTGCATTCAACAATAGTTATTTTATTTAGAGCTTATACTATGGGTTATATTGTTAATTCAGACACAAATGATTCAGAGATCACACCCACTCTCAAAATCTATTAATAACTTGAGATGTACAGACAACTATGAGTAACAGACAAATCAGGATTTCTTGATACCGACAGTAGCTTTCCATGCCGCTCTTTCCTGTTTCAGACGTGAATTCTCTGCCTCAGAGTTAAAAGAAAACCTGTAAGTGAGGTATATTTGTTATTAGCCCAGAAATCAG